TAAACACCTTATTGTACTAATGGTAACTTAACTACAACGTGCAGGTATACATAATAATGCCAGTTAATAACATTTCAGACTAACAGTCTATAAATACAATAATATTATTGAGATGATATGCAATATAATATTTCTGTGTAGGCCTATAATTTACTCAAAACATAAGCCATTAAAAAAAACCAAATAGGGCTTAGATATTTTTAGTGGTGGCGACATGGGAAAGAAATTTATTGACCTTCAAATGTACACTAGGAGTTTGTAATAATTATGCTCTCTTGGAGTTACATAGCATTTATGTTTTGGTTATGTGACGTATATTTAGTAAGTTACATAGGCTTATAGACTTACCTAGGCTTATAATATGTCAGGTATCCTTAAAGCAAAGAAGGACTTCATTGGTACGTTCTTTAAATCTAAAGTTCGGTGTGTAGGCCCGATTGTAGACCATTAGATTTACCAATATGTAAAATCTCATATTCATATAGATATGTTCATACGTCTTGTAATCAATTCGTTTGTGTGATACAGCCCATAGTGAGCAGAGTTGTAATGAGTTTTCTTAAAATTGAAAAACATAGGGACTAGCTAAGTTCCGTCACTTATCAGATCAGACACTACTTTCCTTTCGTGATTGCTAAAGGCCTAGCGACAGTTGGCAAGCTGTGTATTAATTATAAGTGCGGTATAATCCATCGATATTTCAAATACAAGAGATCAGTCATTTTTCATACTCCGTAAACTTATATCAAGTAGGACTTGACTAGGGTAACTAACTACTGAAAACGAAGTGTACTTATTAAAAACGCGACACCGTCTGCTTTCAATATGCTTATATAGCTTTGCGACGCGTTTTTAATTTTACACTGATATTTATGCGGATTTAACCAATAACTTTGATGTTAATAAATACAAGCTGATAGATTTAACACCTCAGACAGGTCAAGATCAGAAAGAGAAAGGTCAAGAGCCGTAAACAATTTGTTCTCCATACATCAGTTCTGCTAATAAATTATCACCTGGGACCTTACTCATATTTAGACGTTGTGCTGTTCGTTTTATTTCTACACACTATAATTGTCCCTCGTGGAGTTAAGGATTCTTAAGATCTGTCAACATCTTGATAACGTGAACAGTCTTGGCCTATGCTCTCTTTATGGCACTAACATTACTTACCACTTTACATCTATGACATTAAATTAATAACCTATGTTGTTCATTTTGAAATTGTACGTCCTCTACGTTCAAACGTGCAAATCTCTAGGTAATGATAGGGGTGTTGAATATAAAATGTACCTTTTTATCATGTCCTTTTATGTCTCGGTAAAAATATTGGATTGAATAGCAGCTGTGTCATTTGAATACGATCTAAAGAGAGTTATTTGCCAAGACGATGGAACATATTCTGTACTTATTCGGCCCTAGCTGATTACCACAACCAATTAGTTTAGAATGAGAATGAGTCCCAATTTTGTGATATTTGAGCAACATCAACGGAATTTGCTGAGGTGTTCGTAAATGTTGGTCACTTTATATCCATAAGATACAATGGAGTGCTTCTGAACTTGAAATTGTTTTCCGTCCATTAGACACAGAGCTTAAATTGAATGGACCTAGGCCTGCGTATAACGTAAAAGAGAGTACAATAATAATGTAAATTATACATAGGGTGCATAATCAGTGCTGTGTTACCTGTCTCTTATACACATCTCCATTAGATTTACCAATATGTAAAATCTCATATTCATATAGATATGTTCATACGTCTTGTAATCAATTCGTTTGTGTGATACAGCCCATAGTGAGCAGAGTTGTAATGAGTTTTCTTAAAATTGAAAAACATAGGGACTAGCTAAGTTCCGTCACTTATCAGATCAGACACTACTTTCCTTTTATACTTTTTATAACGAATATGTTGTAGGGTTCTTAAGGATGGAGTGTTCGTTACAGCATTCAATTAGGCGTATGCCTATTTGATACTATACATTGATCCTTCAATTTTCATTTAGTAACTGGGAGGGAATATATCTACGTGATAAGTAACTATCATTATAATATACGGTATATTATATTATTATATATATACATATATAATATGCAAATATTACAAACAGTATCGTTATTATATACTGTATCCCATATCTAAGAAGTTGCATCAAACTTCAGTATTTATTGACATTACATTTGTCTATTTAATTATATACAATATATATATATAATATATATAATATATATAGTAATAATATATATATAAGATATATATATAATACATATATAATATATAATAATATATATAATAATATATAGTAATAATAATATATATAATATATATATAATANNTGAGACCAATATGAGACATGGCATACTGCATGGTCTATATTGGGACTTGTTAAAAAATTTCTTCGAAAACACTTCAATTGATGGTTGTGTGGTTCATTCGTTGAAAATCGTGGTAATTTTAATGCCCACATCATAATCTGCATTATAATCACACATTGTACTTTTTGATCACGTGACAAGATTAATAATGATTGTGGACTGATAATGAAATGTGGAAATACAGACAGCCTCGTGTTAATGAGATAAAAGGTCCCGTGAATACATCTTTGGGTTGGTCTTCGGTAGGAAAAGGGATTTTAGATTACCTGGAAATTAACTAATTTCATTCGTAAATTAGACCTCTGCCGAATGTCAACAACGGGTTCCTCTTCCAAAAAACCACGCCTTCACTGGAAACATTTAAAAGATTCGCTACTAAGAGTAGAAACCAATCATAATTTTGTCTCTTGAATTGTACGAACCACTTTCATTGGAATACATTTGATTTGGTTGTGTGAACTCTAATTCAAATAATACGTTTCATTATTGAGTGCAGCATATCTTATTCAGAATTACTAAGTATTTTTGTATTCTATATTGTACTAAAATGAGATTACACAGCTTGCTTTCTCCTCTCGTCTCTTCGGTAGATTCCAGCCCAACAAAAGAAATGACAGCCTCAACGCTAAGTCCATCTGAAACTCCAGACAAAGTCAGTGACATGGACGATCACAAATCTGTAGATGATAAAGATGAAAGTAAAGTGGACAGTGACAAAAAAGATGCAAATGGAGACTGTAATGATGATGGTACGAAAAGGAAAAAGAGAAGAAACAGGACAACGTTTACAAGTTTTCAATTGGAAGAAATGGAGAGAGTTTTCCAAAAGACGCACTACCCGGACGTTTACTGCAGAGAACAATTGGCTCTACGATGTGATTTGACAGAGGCCCGAGTGCAGGTAAAACTACGTTATTTTCACTTTTTCACTCTTTTTTTACGTTAAGCGGAACCGAAAGTGATAAGATCTCAAGCTTAATAGCAAAATCGAAAGCTTCCGAATAAAGTTAAGATCCTAAGTATTGAACTGATACTGCTCACTGTTATGAAATAACCATGATTTAATAAAATACAAATTGAAATGTTCCTGAAGTTAAACAAGTTTAAATTGGGTTCAATCAAGTTCGCAACGTTTAGTTAAGGGTGCCTTTTTTCATTCGGCACTAACTGTGTGGAACCTGTTTGTCTTCCCAACACGTTTTGTTCAGCTTATTAATGACAGACTGAAGTTACTCTCACGCGGAACATAAATGTCGCGTTATTAATGGTTAAAAATATCGGTTTATTGTCATTATCTAATGTTTCCATGTGGGTATGAAGATAATTACTAGTGACTAGAAAAACAATCATAAACGGGTGTGAAATTCTTTCTAATTTTAGTTTCTGAAAGACCTTTTTTCATTTGCATTGTTATATAACGGGGGGGTTTTTTTTGTATTGTATTTGAGAACCATAGAAAAAGCAATGTACATGAGTCGGTAGGAAATACGACACTGAAAATTGAAAATTTTGACTTGTTCTAAGAATATTTCATGGTCACAGGATGTTTCATATATGACAAATACTCACACATATTGTAGCTTTTCAAATGCAAAGCTTTTGTCTCGGAACGCCATGACCCTAGACTAATTAAAACGAGTTAGTCACCTAGGTTGTGTATTTTTTAGAAAGACAATGAGCTATGGATTTCAACTTTTAACATAAATTTAAAACATTTTCTGTTGGCCTTTGGAATGGGCCTATTTATTTTCTTTTACTTGGTCCCGTTTATATTACTCAATAATAAATAATTTTAAAATATAAACTAATTTTAAAATATTTAAAATTAGGCTACGCCGATTGCAATAAACTAAAATATTAATCAAATTGTCTATAGTAGAAAACATAAGATATTAGTTTAAGGAATCAATATTCGTGTTGCTTTGAAGATACACATAGCCTAATATTTGAGGACTATAGTAATATGGAACACGTTTATGTGTATTTTTTTTTTTTAAATGTTATTCCGAATTTGAACAGGAAATATATATTTAATAGTCATAGTTGTTATGTTAATATAAGAGAACGCAAGTCATTTAATACGCCGAAGGCATATAGGCCTATGAAAACGGGTGAATATAAAATAGTGCTCAAATAATAGGAACAAATTATATTACTATCGTATGAAGCATTATTTTTTAACGAAAAAGTTCTTTATCATTTGCACAAAAAGTGTAGCCTACAACTATCCTAATTCGATATCAACACTTCTTTATCTAATACAACTGATAAGATACTTTCTCGTTGAAGAGCTATGCTTGATATTAGGCCTAACATCATTATGTTCTTATTTCAGAACTCTATATTAGAGACAGCGTTAGAATACAGAACGAAAGGGTTCTTTTGTACCGTATCATTGTATATAAAAGTGTGCCTCTGGCGGTTATTCAGCTACGAAGAGCCTGGTGAAATGGCAATAGGCCACATACATCACTGTGGTCAAGTATTACGCTTGCATAGATAGTGTAACGTTTGCAGGTTCGAGTCCTACTAGGACTTAACTGTCTTGCTAGGCCTAGTGCTGAAATAAATGTATATATGGTAAACAGTAATTTATATTGTTAATATGTTACATTCAACAGAGGCAAAAATCTGCAAGAGTTTAAAAAAATTGTTGTGTTTTTTGCTCGATATGTATATACACTTACTGTACTAAGCCAATGATTTTTTGGAATGAATGAATGAATGAATTGATTTGAAAACAATTAACTGCAACGTGTATAGTACAGAAAAACGCCAATCTTCAATGTACTTTTAAAACATAGGCATACTCCCTAATTAGCAGGCCTTTATATATATATCTCATATAAATGGGTGTGTATATATATGGAC